ACATTCTCCAATATGTAACCACACATTGTAATATTTCTGTAGGAACAAATATCAAACACAAACTCACCACCACACATTCTCCAATATGTAACCACACATTGTAATATTTCTGTAGGAACAAATATCAAACACAAACTCACCACCACACATTCTCCAATATGTAACTCATACAATGTAATATTTCTGTACTTATCAACTCGAAACTATTGAAACTCAAGACTTTGTTTTATTGTTGACTGTTTGTGTTTGACAGAAGTTCATGCTAACCCATGCCGTAAATTGAATATTAGTAAACCAGTGACTGAGAAAAAAGAACAACAAGGTACTGGTAAGCTAGTGAAGGTTATTACAATTGTGTTGTAAGGGCTGTTCAATTATTTGTTTATACTGTGTTGTAAGGGCTGTTCAATTATTTGTTCATATGTATGTATAACGAGAGAGAGTGAGAATTTAAAATTCATCATATGGACTAATGTTGGGTGACCAGATGTCCCAATTTTCCCAGGACAGTCCCCTTTTTGGTAGTTTGTCCCAGGAAAAGTTCTCTTGATGCACAAAATATCCCTGTTTTAAGATAAAGACATCAAGATATCAGTTGTATCAAATCACGAATGTAATAGGCCTGCTCGACTTACTCATTGTTATAACATGTACTCTCCTGCAGCCATGCTCTATTAAAAGTTCCATCTTTATGTGGTGAGAAACCCAGGTCTAGGCAGGTTTGAATGTGAAGACAATTATGGCAGTGCTTATAGTCAAAACACACTTTACACAGTCATCTACTGAATTTTATGAATATAGAAAAAAAAAAAACCACAACTTCTATGTTCCAAGGTGATACTAAAACATAAAAAAGTAGTATGTTAGAAACTCTTATGGATTCTTTAAATAAATCCAGGTATGAAGTAGCCTATTTTAAGATGAATTGGATAAAGTGAATAATTAAAGATTTCTTGGATGTATAAATGGAATATTTTTGCTCATTTGTTTTGTGTCTATCACCAAAAAAAAAGGAGTTGAAATTATTTCAAAAACAATGCTAATGTTAATATATTTAGAAGTATTGGGGAACAGTTCAATAAATAAAAGTTATTTCAAATTTGTAATAACCTTTTTGAAATTAGGGACAAGGACTGTCCTGGTTTGTTGGTTCGGAAGTCTGGTCACCCTACGCTAACATGAAGTAAAGTTTTAAATATAATCTTGTTTAAAACTACCAGATTAAATGATGCAATCAGATTTCTAATAATTTTTCTATTTCATCTATAAAACAGGTTATAATTAGCTGAAGAGTGTGCAGCCACAAATTAAAAGTTTTGCAGTGAAAGTATAAATGTGATTATGTAAACAAAAGATAACATTGGAATGATTTACCTATCTAAAGTCCCCTAAAACTTCATTGAGTGAAATGCGGCTGTTCTCAATGCAGCTGGGCTGATGAGAGCCGATATAGCACAACTGTCTGTTGGTTACAGTAGGGGTGTATTGTTACATTATATGAGCATGATATTTTTTTTAATTTAGATTTTAACATTTCATGCTTCAGGGGATTTCAGTTAACCACTATAAAAATATTTCTTTAGCTTAAAATGACAGGGTAAAAGAGAGAGTATGTTAAAGATGAAATCTAATTTTGTGTGTTGAGCTACTACTTGGTAAGATTTATGTGTAATTGTGCTTGTGGAACATGATATTGTTTACATAAACAAGCTGCATAAAAGTAATCTTTATTCAAGTTTTATTGTATTTTCAGATAAGGAAGGAGGAGTTACTCTTGGATATTCAGATAATTTAGGGAGATCAATGCATGCAGTGAAATCTAGCCCTTCGAAGGAAGAGAAAGAAAATAATATAATACAAAAACCTAATCCCACAAATAGACAAACCATTCAGTTAAAACGACTGAAACCCACTCGGGAACATAAAGAGGGTAAGGTCATACATTTATTTACTACATAAAGTTTATGATGCTACTTTAAATTTTCTCACTGTTATGCAAATATAAAAGGGGTGGATTTAAGCATTACTGCAGATGTTAACCACTAATTAGATACTGAGGGCAAAACAAACCAAGCTTAAAAATATTTACTACCACATGAGCCATTACACTGTTGTGGGAATTTGTGAAAAAGATTGATCTAGTATCTTGAAAAAAGTTCTATATTATGGTACTACTTGTTAGTCACAACCCTCAACTGTTAGGGTCAGAATGACCCACAAACGATTACAACAGTAAGAAATAGAACTGCAACAACACATCCACTCTTCTCAACACTTAAGAACTGATTAAGGATAGAATGCAGGAAATATCAGGTAGAGAGCAGCACTAGCTGAGTTGAAATATTGGCTTTAAAAATTGACGTTTCATTCTGACCCCACCCTTCCAGTTGAGGGTTAAATGTTGTACCTACTTTTGAATTTGTTGTAAAGAAAATCCTTGAAATATTGGTATAAATTATTTTTGTATGTTGCTAAAGGATACTATGAGCCTAATTTTATCGTTTTTATCAGCATAATGAAGTAATTTTTAAAATAGGGTTTAAAAATTTATTATGACTATTGTTAAAATACCATTGAGAAATAGCACCTCACTGGGAGTGTATTTCCTTACAGAGAATCACCAACAGAAACATTTATCATTCCATGTAGGTATGTACAACTATATAAAAAGACAAAAGTTTAAGACATGCGAGTTTTCAAGAAGTAACAACATTTAAAATCTGCAGTGTCATAATACATTACATGGCAGTATCTTAAAGTCTTTCCTTTTTTGTAGGAGTTTATAGAATCTCTCTCTCTGTCACATCTGTGTGATATTATCATCATGTGTACCTAAAGCAAAAGTTTTTTCAAAATATAGGTCTGTATCTTTTAACAGCATATCATATTTTTCTAGTTTAAACAACAACAAGAAGTAATATTGAAACCCTAGCACTTTCAACAAGGTAATCTGTCTTTATATCCTTCCACAAGCACTTTGAATTTGTTGGGTTCCTCTGATGTACGAAACTTCACATATGTTTTACCTTTACAATCAAGAAAGTTACAGTATCATTCTGCTGAATAAACTTTTGAAACAGTGCATTAAAGCCAATCTTTGGAAGAAAAGGAAAATATGCTTGCTTGATGTATGGAAATAATTGTCATTAAGAAACTAGAGTAGGGGTTTGTTGAGAACAGATAAAGATAGCCAGAAATACAAGGTAATAAAGCTTATTGTTAACAGTGAGGGTACCTGACTGGTTAAATAAAGCATTGTTGGCAAATCTCTCGGCCCGGCATGGCTAGATGGTATTAGGGTATTTGACTCGTAATCTGAGGGTTGCAGGTTCGAATCTGTGTCACATCAAACATGCTCACCCTTTCAACCATGGGGTGTGTTATAATGTGAAGGTCACTTCCACTATTTGTTGGTAAAGAGTAGCCTAGTTGGCAGTGGATGGTGATGACTAGTTGCCTTCCCTCTAGTCTTTCGCTGCTAAATTATGGATGGCTAGTGCAGATAGCCCTCGTGTAGCTTTGCGCAAAATTAAAAAAAAAAACCTACTCTTCCTAGTTAGCATTAAGAAACACATGGCTTTGAGTCACTGAATTACTTCAAACATTTCGTTTTATTGTATTTTTAAACACAACATTCGTTATTCAATTCCTTTGTGTTTTTTCTGAGAAGAATAATGTATAATTGTATTTCACTCACTCCATGACTATATAGAATAAGTATAACATTTTTAAATGGTAGATGGGCACATTAAATTACAGAATGTGAAAACTGAGTGAATGAAGAAGGATAGTAAGAAAGTACTGATGTTTTTGTCATATGACAAGCATACTTCATTACTGGGTCTTTTGTTATTTTCGCTCATCTTTGATACTTAAAATGTGAAGTAGCAAATGTTTTATTAAATGACTGTATATAACTTCCTGTTCTTGTAACACTGTAGAGCACAGAAACGGAAGACTTGATAAGGAGGAAAAGCCAATAGGTTTATCAGTCAGCAATACTTACGAATCTGGAAATAAGAATTATACGAGTAAAGAAGAGATTAAAGAAATAATTCGTGTAGATACTTCACCATCGGTAGACGGTGTGATAAAATCTGAAGAAAATTTGAGGTAATTAATAAGCTTGAGAAATTTTTATTGACATTACATGTTTATAATGTATTATAGCATTTACATAATAAATAAACCTTGGCCATTTCGGAGTTATTACTTATATTGTATTTTTCATTAAATGTATTATAATATTCAAGTAAGAAAATTTATGTAATGAACCCTGGCCATTTCAGAGTTGTTATTTATATTGTATTTTTGCATGTGTGTGTGTGTTGAGTTTGGATTTTTCATGTTTTTTTTTTACTGTTTGTTACTAAGACATTGATACATTTATTATGGTGGGTACAGAAATTATTTTTCTGACAAAATGTGAATTTCTATGTTTGTTGACATTGGGATCATACTTGTGGGGTAATAGATAGTGGGCTTACGTCAAATCACCATGTTTGATCTCATGATAATTAAACTGTGCAAAACATTATGGGAAGTCACCTACAGCACACAGTATCACTAATAACTTTTGACTGCCTTATCAGTAACATATTGGAAAGTTTCTTTAAGATTGCTCTATGAATGCAATGAGTGAAGCATGTTATGGTTGCTTTTTATGAGTTAGTTAATTCAAAGTCACTTTGAAATTATCATCCACATATATATATATATATATAATAAATTATTATTATTTTTCTTGATTTATTGTGGGTTGGGTAACAAAACCTTTATTCTTAATTCTAGATAAATCAGTGTTAAAAGATATCCTCTCAATAATGCATAGATAACGTTTGTATCAACTTTCACAAGATTGTGATTAATTATGAAAAATTCAATGTCCGGCTTCTAAGGTAGTCATTTAATTTTAAAGAGAATGACAACATAGAAACAATATAATATCTTCAAAAGGCAGATAAGGTACAAAATTCCAAGTTTAGTGTCAGGTTTTATGGGTATGGATGGGCAGAATTCTTTACAGTAGGTGTTTGACTTGTTGGTCGTAAATTTCAACAACAAATGGATAGCATACAATACACTTGTTTTAAAATAATATATTCAAAACAAGTTAAACGTATGTAGAAAAATTCATTACGCTATTGGTTATTGCAGTTATATCCAGAGCTTTGAGTAATTGTTTCTTTTTTGTCAAAGTCCACACAGACAGGTTCAATCACTTTAGAACACCCTTTGACAAGATAAATTATTCTCTTCCATCTCTGTTATTACAATACAAGCTGTGAAACTCACTTTAGAAATTCTGTTACAGCTTAACTGACAATCATGCATTCTGACTTCACCTTTACTTTCACTAACTTAACTTGATCTCTGTATCTGCACGTATTTATAACACGTGACAGAAACACCTAGCCCTCTAGTATCAAAAATATGACACGTATCAAGAAAAACGTAGAAACTTCAAGTAAGATGATGTCAACAATATTACAAAAGGCTAATGCAACAGTTAAACTACATACACAATGTATGACTAGTATAGAGTTACATAACGAAACTTCTTATAAACATCACTTTTAAAATAATTAACTCTTGTTGTGAAAACTAAATAATCATTGAATATTAAATCACCAAATGAACTGAGTAATAACTCTTAAACTAAACAGTCTTGTATATCCAACAGTTAGTGTGTGAAGAAGAATTAAATGAAAAAGATAGCAGAAATGAAAGTTTTAAAGCACTAATTTGATATTTCTTTTCAAGGTAGAGAGCAGCCCACATTCTGTATCAGCGGGGAGAGGAATAACTCTTGTAAACACTTTAATGCTTATTTAGAATTAACTTGGGTTAGCTGGAGTTTATTTTCAGTTCACTCTTAAAAGCATTTGGGTTTTAATTAGTTTTATTCTTCTATTGAAAGGTAAAGATACAGTGGAATTCTTTTATTATTTTCAGTAAAAAAAAACAAGATCAAAAATTATACTGAAACGTCCAACCTTAAGTACAACACAGCATGCTGACACTTCGAAAGATATCAGTTTTCAAGCTGAAAACGTGTGTTTGTCTAACACTAAAGAAACTAATGAAGTGACCAGTCAGCAACCACTTATCACAACGGCCTTACCTGATAAAAGCAACATTCAAGATGGTCTACAAACAAACTCTGCTGTTACTCAAAGTAGTGAGTCTGTATATATAAACTTTAGTTCTCGTGCAGAAATCTTTTCATCAGATCAGTCACAGAAACTACCTGGAGATGTACCAACAGTATTATCTTCTGCCTTAGTTCGTGAGAGTGAATGTAAGACTTCAACAGAGATTTTGTCTACTGATGTTACCAACACTGGACATACGAGTGTTAGAGATACTTGTTTAGACAAGTTACATCCTTCAGTAAATGTGAATAAGAATGAAGAAAATATCAATATTACCTCGGCATCAAGAGAGTCCATATGTGTAGAAGATTGTGGTCTTGAAACTAGGAAAGTTACTACAGAAATAGATTCTGCTGTGAAAGAGAACATCAGTTGTAAAGAATATTCAAGAATGTCATCCATCCCTTTCAGTGCTGATCTTTCAGAGAGTTCTGATAACCCCCAGAATGACTCAAGTAAAGTAGACACAACACTTCAGCCCTCAGAGACATCAACAACTTTTCATCAACAGACAAGTAGTTCAAACTTACTAAGTTCCTCCAGTAATGATGATTTTTATGAGATATTCATGGGCGAGGATGATATAGATGTGTTAGTTGAAGAGAAGAACGATGACGAACTCATGCAAGAGTTAGAGGATATGATCAACAGCTAAGTTTCGATTTTTACCGACTCTGAAATGTTGTTTAAGAACATAAGCATAGAGTACTTTGTTTTATATAAAAGTATATATAGTATTTTAGTTTGCCCTCCCAAACTTTATCATATTTGTTTTCAAAGTTTTTTTGAAATCTTGTGATGGTGGTGATGATGATAAGTCTCTTAATTGGGATGTTAGCCTAACTAACCAAAACCAAACATTGAATCTTTACTCTTGTTCACATTACTTTTTTTCACATTGTTGATTTGCCATTTGTTATATCTTATGGCAAGAGTTGCATTGTATAAAAAAAAATTCAAACTGCTGAATCGAACTCGTACTTTTAGATCATTTAAGAATGTGAGAATGAATTAAAACTAAGTCAAATTTTCACACAAATATTTTAGTTTAATTATGAGTCTTCAAGATATGCATATGTGTGTGTATGTATGTATATATATATATATATATATATACATACATACACACA